TGTAAATTAGGATCCTTTAGGCCTATCTCAGATCAGTGAGCCATAAACCTGCTGAACAGTGTCTTCTCTGCCTGCTCTGTGTATCCTTATATGCCTCTGACACAAAAAGGTCTGCCTCTTTTTGGCCAAAGCTTGTATCTCCTTTTAATTAGCAGCACCAGATGTGGATCACTTCCCTGTCTAAGGGTAGGAGCAACTGCAAGGGGGAGTTGAGAGAGATTTGGGGGGTAGGAATCCACACTGGACACAAGAAGCATCTTGTTTAGTGCTTTGTTACAGGAAAAACTCTGGCACAAGAGATGCATGGGTGGAGTTGCAAGCCCTTCCTCTGCTGGAAACAGCATCTGGTTGTATCTCCAACACACCCTTCCTCCTGCCCTTGGTGCCCAGCAGTGGGGACATGAGAGGGCTGCCACTGCAGGAGAGAGCAGTCCTCTGTGTGGTGGTTCTGCAGGGAGTTCTCCCTCAAAGGGGAGCCCATGTTGTCTTTGCTGGGTGTTTCAGGGATTTCTTTGTGTGGATTTAGCAAACATGAGCGTGTGGTTTGGTTCTGCCAGGATGGGTGGAGTTGCTCAGGACTGTGTTAGGAAGATGAATTGTCTGCTAACAGCAGGCAGCGGGTCCTGCAGCTTTCCCTGGAGCCTCTGAGCCTGGCCTTGGTGGTGAAGAGACTATGGCTGGCCAGATCAGGGGTAGAAGAGCACACTTGGCTGAGCTGCCCTTGAGCTGACAGTTCCTACTGCTCCTGTTTAAACAAGCATACTTTAGAAATTGCTTACCTGGCTTGTGCATCACCTAAAAGGCAAGCAGGCTTGACAGCAAATGCACCAAGCAATAAATGGACTTGTACTGTGTGGCTTCATGTGGTGACCAGTGACAGGACCAAAGGGAATGCCCTGAAGTGTCAGGGGAGGTTTGGTTTAGATATTATAAAAAGGTTCTTCACCTTTTGGTCTTCACCAAACACCAGTGGGTGTTCGGGCACTGAAACAGGATCCCCAGGGAAGCGGTCACAGCACCAAACCTGACAGATCTCAAGATGTGTTTGGACAATGCTCTTGGGCACATGGTGTGACTCCTGGGGATGGTGCTGTGCAGGGATGGGAGCTGGACTTGGTGATCCTTGTGGGTCCCTTGCAACTCTGCATATTCTGTGATTCTGTAATTCATAGGTCAACAGCACAGGGAATGGAGAGAAGGTGGAGGAGAAAAAAACCACAGAAACTCACAGCTTCATTTCAGACCTATTTTGCTCTCTGCTTCAGTGATACAGGTTCCTGCTTAAATCAGGACCCTCCCATTTTTCATTTTGAATTATTTACTGCAATTCTGAAACAGAAACAATAAAGTGAGGTCTGTCTATGCCACCCAAATCATTATGACAGCACATCTGTGGCTAATGATTGCCAGCAGTGTTTGCCTTTTGCCCAACCAGGAATCTTTACCTGCCTCTGTAGGAAGTGGTGTGACTCACTTTTTTTCTTCAGATGGAAACATTCCAATCCTTAGTATAAGGTGAGGAGAGTGATTCTTGATCCCTGGGCAGTTATTTCTAAGGATGCAGGAAGCAAAGAAATATACACAGTTCTGTGAAGGCGCAGCCCCCACACTCCACTCTCCCTTCCGAGAAGGATTAATTCAGGCTGTGATGAGTACGCACAAGAAAAGGTTACTGAGATGTTCGAGGAGTGAAGATCCTCTCTTACATGAATAAATCAGAAAGGCTGTGTCTGTTCAGCCAGGTAATCAGGAATGGAGAAGGAGAGACAATTCCTGTTTGTAAATCCTGCATCTATGTATGCATTAGTTGAGAAAAGAAAAAATAATGACACGTGTTGGCACAAAATCTAACATTTATTTGGGATATATAGGAGTATGTCTAAATTTAAGCAAGACGTTAGAAGGTTTTTAACTGCTTCATGGATGTCTCAGCTGCTGGGCAGCTTTAGAATAAAAGCCTTTGCTTTTCTTTCCAGAGTTTACAACAAAGGCATTATTTGTCTTTCCCTGAGAAGTGAGAGCACATGTCTTAAAACATTTCCAGCAAAGACATGCACTGGAGCAATTTGTGTTCTCTGACTTCTGTTCCTACAAGTTTTCATCTTAGACTGATACAACAATTTATTAAATGAAGAAACTCAGTTTTGATCTAGTTTGTTTTCTTCTTGCCTTTTCCCCCCTCAGACTCTCCATTTCTATGCAAGTGCTACATGTCTCTCTTGAGCTTGCAGGGGTGGAGGGTAATTTCTGCCCTTGCTAAATTGCTGTGGCATCAAACAAAGCAGAGGGAAGACAAGAGGAGCCTTTCTGCAGCATCTCTATCATAACTGCTCAGTCATATCACAGACAATGTGGTTTTAGGGACTACAGAAACATCCCTTGTGAGCGTAGCATTTCTCCCTGGTTTTGCTTAGTTTAAATGAAGCCTGAAAGGATGGATGGGTGTGATGGGTTTGCCTGTGACACTGGGGACAGTGCTTGAAAGCCCAAGTAGCGTTTTCTGTTTTTATGCCCCTTTGCATTCAGTGCTGAACAAACTGGTGTCTGCAGAAAGTGCTGTCCTGATTTTTGGACGGGATGCAGAACGTGAGTAAAGGCTCTGTGGCTGCTGAAGTGTTAGAGCTGTGCTGGGAGGGGAAGGGGCACTCATTACTACTGGATGATATCAATAGCCTGGGGGTATTAAATGGAGGATGAAAATGCTGCTGGCATTAGGCTTTGTGGAGGCAAATCTTCCATTCAGTTTCTGGAACAGGAATACAGGTAGGACCCCAGATGAAGCCTCATGTGGGTAAAGGTGCATTTGCCCAGGAGTCAAAGCTCCTCTGAAAAATATTTTACCCTGAAAGCCACAATCATGACACAGATTCCAAGAGCTTCAAGTGAAGCCTAAGCTGACTCACTGTACAGCCCACCTGCCCTGCCAGAGCAGTGCACCAGAGACTTCCTGCCTGCTTCCAGCTGTCATCCACAGACAGACCTCAGCAGTGTGGCAGACAGGGTGCAGACTTCTGGGCACAGAAATGTCTCTAGTGGACCTATCCATTCTGCCTGTGATGTGACTCAGTGTCCTAATAAACTTGGTGAGCAGCTGGTTTGTGGTGAAGTCCTTCTCTCATAGGGACAACACTTCTGTATCCATCTCCTTCAGAGAGATGGCAACAATGACTGATAAATTTTGCTCAGGTTATCATTCCTCATTTTTCAACTGCTGAGAGGCAGAAAAGCTCTGCTATTGCTTTTTTTAAAGAAAGTTGAGTTAGAAAAAGAAGGGTTGAAAAGGATTTTTTTTTTTTACCAGATCTAAAAGTATTCATGATGATCATGATGATGATGACCTGCTGTCATTCCAGCTGTAAACCACAACTATAGTATTTGTTAGAAAAGTCAAATCTTACGAGGAGCAGCTGAAGGAGCTGAAGTTCTTTAGCCTGGAGAAAAGGAGGCTGGTGGGGAGTTCATCACTCTCTACAACTGCCTGAAAGGAGGGTGTATCTGGGTAGGGGCCAGTCTCTTCCCCCTGGTAACAAGAGATAACACAATGTAAACCAGCCTCAAGCTGCACCAGGGCTGGTTTAGATTGGATATTAGGAAAAAATACTTCACTGGAAGTGTTATCAAGCATTGGAACAGGATGCCAAGGGAAGTTGTGGTGTCACCATTCCTGGTGGTATTTAAAAGACATGTACTTGTGGCACTTAGGGACATGGTTTAGTGGTGGATTTGGCAGCATTAGCTTTGAACTTGATGATCTTAAGAGTCTTTTCCAACCTACATGATTCTATGATTCTATGATTCTCTGTTTACTGAGATTTAAAATTATCTAGGAGACATCTCTCGCAAGGTTGTTAAAGTCTATGACAACTTTGTGGGAACAGAGAAGTTCCATTTCTAGCAGTTCCTCTTTCTAAAATTTACTTTGTGTTTTTTGGGTTTACTGCCAGGGTGGTACTGGTTTAAGTACTCTACTTTCCCCGCAGTCCTAACTCTGACCCCTCGCTCCCCTCCTCAGCATCATGGCACTCTGTTGTATTGTGATGTTCCCTTATCCACTTCTGGTGTCACATTCTGTCACATGAATGGGCTGTTGTGCCACTGCCAAAAATAAATGCTGTGCTGGCTTTTCCTAAATATGTACAGACTCAGCTGGGTCTCCAGGACTTTTTATAGCCCTCCAGCGCAGTCCTATCTTTGGTAGCATCAGCATTTCCATAGCAACTAACTGTGATGTCAAAGCAACTTGGTTTTTTTGGTAAAAACAGGCAGGAAGCAATGAACTCTTCATAAGCAAACATCCAATTTTAATTCAAGTGTCTCTCATAGTGTCTGCCACCGCTGCTGTTTATGGTTCTAATCCTAATTATCTCACTGTTACCTTGCTGTCTCCCATCTGTCACACCCACCAGCTGCATGTTCTTTGCCTAGGTCCTGCAGTGTGCCCTTCCTTACAGGAATGTGTGGGTATTGTTGAGGAGAAAGGTGTGCTCCATTCAAAGTTAGAAGCACCAGCAGGAGTGGTAGAGATCTAGCAGTAGCATTTATATACAAGCTTGCTTGTTTTTTCCTAAACCAAACCTAAACTAACTGGTCAACACCAGCCTTCTCCAACCTTTTCCAGTGCTGGACATATTTCCAGCGAAATGGGTAGGTTGTAGTGATGTGACCTGAGCCTTCTGACTCTACTTTCCAGGACCTCTTACAGTCAGGTTCTCCAGGGGGGAGAATCATGGATTGATGTGTTACACTCACAGCTTTTAAGGGAAAAAAGAGAACAAATGAGCTTCTGAGTCCAAAATGCTGCTTGTTAACCCTATCTTAAATGAACCCTCAAGACCACACATTCTGTCTCAGCCTTGTCCACTTGCAGTACTGCCACTTTGCATGTCCTCTACCCACAGCACAGCAGGGAACAGTAGGGGATTTAACTTTTAATAGGATCTCTCTGTCTTTATCTGCAGTACTGCATATTCCTTGGACCAAAGACTCACGTGATGGAGACTGCCTTGTGGTATTAAGGATTAAGCCTGTAAGAATTTTGATTTGTAGGGCAGACTTCCCCCCCTGCTGAGGGTGGGAGAAACAACACATTGTGACTTAATGCTGCAAAGATTAGAATTTATCTACTCAGAGCTTTCCAGATGTCATCTGCTTTGTGGGACTGATTGTGTTTTTACAGTTTGAGTGAAGATATTAGAGTGACTTTTTGTATCCACAGGAGTGAATGACGTTTACCCAATACTACTCTGGGCAAGGAAGAGTCAATGTACTCCTCTCTGCCCAACCTGAATCAACAAATAAATGAGTTTACCTCCTCTTTAATTACAGGTAAGTCGCTGGCTCATTGGCAGCAGAAAATGCACTGTGGTTTCTCCTGCTTTTTATTCTTGAGCATTATTAAACACATACATATAAAAAAGTAGCTGAGAGAGAAAAATGAACAACTGACTTCCTGGCCCTGCTGAGGAGACAAGTTCACACAAAACCTCATCTGCCTTTACTCCATGGGAAGACATAGGCAGGGCTCTTACTCATCTATAAATTGTCTTGCAGACTATCTTCTCCCCCATCTCACAGGCACTGGCTGGCACTGCATCCTCTGGGATCCTCTGAACCTGGGCTCCTTGGCCCAGGTGAGGCACAGTGCAGCTCTGCACAGAAAAGGGACACCTTGTCACTCAGTGTCCCTAGGGCAGAAGTGTCTCCTACCTTCTGTACCCATCACAGGGCGACAAGACCATCTGCAGCTCCCATCTCGTCCCTGTCTTCTGTGCAGCTGAGCTGTTTGCTGTGCTGAGCTGGCTGCTGGCTTCTGCAGCAGGCAAGACACTGCTGCACAGAGCCAGGGGATCTGCATGGTCCCAGCTCACAGCCCCAGCCTCCACTCACTCACCTTGGTGCAGCCATTGATCCTGAAACATAATGATGGTCACAAACCTGGCAGGTATTCAATTAATAATTTAAAAATAAATGCACATAAACTCAGTATCGGGATAGTTCCTCTCATAATATAGCCATCACTGTTTGCAAAACAGACATACTGCATTTTACTTCTGTTTTGTCACCATTTCTCAGAACTTATATCTGTGGCAAAGTTTTTCAACCAGTATGATGACAATAATAATTATTTTAGGGAAAATCAAGCAAGTCAAAACAACCAATACATACTGATACATGTTTTATGACAAAAAATCCTGGCAGAATATAGATAATACTTTAAAAGTTGTGCTGATGGGGTCTTGTCTTGAGACCCTGCTACCCATCCACTTCCATGCCAACAGAGCTGAATAAGCATTTATGCTGAATAAGCGTTTCTCAAAATAACACCCAAATGCATTCATCAGAGTACATGGATTTTGCTTTTCTTTTTTTTCTTCTTGTCTGTATTGCTTCCTAGAATCCGAACTGCAAATGTCAATCAGCTCAGATAACCAGTGTCTCCTCAGGAAGAAAGTCAGGAGCTCCTCAATGGGATCTAGAAAAGGAAACACCTGCTGGCACTCAAGCAACCTTAATAAATTCCAGCCAGATCCCACCCACTGTGTTGATCTTCTTCATCCATGACACTGCCAACAAGATGAGGTAAATCAATGCCCAAGAAACCTTTATTTCTTCCTCCCTCTAAGTTTGGCATTTCAATGCTAGTAAGAATATTATTAGGAAAATGGGGGTTCTTTCTATCATCACAGTGTGATTTCATGTACTCACCAGAACTCTCAGGTTTATGAACTTTGTGCAGAACCTGGTCTTTAGCAGCCCCTCCTTATGTTTTCTTTCAGTTAAAAATTTCAAATTTAATATTGACAGTCTTAAGCAATGAGGAAGAGTTAAAAGCTACAGAAATAACCCAGACCTAAGCAAAATCATCTGCTCCTGATTTTTGAATTGCATTGTGATTTTTGAAACTGCTGTGCATATCATTTTCTGTATGGAGTTTTCTTAGCAACAGTGTTAACAACTGGCCCAGGTCTAGACCCGAACATTAACTCATGTGTTGGTTCATATGCAGTGCTATATGAAGCCCCCCCCCCCAACAAAAAGGGGGGAAAATAATCTGCTTAATGGTTAAACCAGGATAAATGAATGTTTCAATTTAAAATGCCTAAACTTTATAATTCTTCCTCTACAAGAATCAGCTGAATCTGACCAATGCTATCTCTAGAACAAACTCCTGTTTTTATAATGGTATGAGTATAGTATGAGATTGTAGCATGACCTGCATCTGGCCAATGAGTATCTGGTTGTTTTGTGACAGGCCACAAGTAATCCTGACTCCATATGTTTGTAGAGATACTGGAATTTAATCAATTTATTCAGGAGAATTGTACTCATTTATTTGGTTAGCAAAACTGCTTACAGTCAGGATTTGATGCTTGTACTAGGTAAAGGCTCCAAGTTTCAGTCCTGAATGTTTGGAAAACTGGATAGAAAAAAGGGGGAAAACATAAATTTGAAAGATTATCATACCTCTGAGACCTTCTACATGTCAAAATGAAGGCTGTGATTACTTCTACTGGCAGAAGAAAGGCAAGTTGCAAAGGTAATATAGGTAAAAGAAGAGAGCTTGTGAGCTTGTGGTGCCCTGGAGGCTATTACGAGGGAGGTATCTATGGCTGCTATGCTTGTTATAGAAAGCTGACTGAGAGGAGGGGGGCGTTAAAACAAATGTCTCCCACATCCTCAAGTATGTGCCACTCGGTGTTAGTGGTATCACCCCTTTTCTCACCTTGTGCCTGAATGTCTGTACAGCACAGCACCCAGGCACCGCTTTTCTATCCCTTCCCTTGGAAATGCTCTGTGCTGCACAGAGAGTTGTTCCAAAGGAGCAATGTAACAAGCACCTCTCCCTCTGCATACCCTACACCTGGAGGGAAACCGAGGCAGACTCCGTGCAGGATGTGTCTGACACTGGCTCCTGTGTGGATCCTGTGCCACATTTCCCCTCTGTGGGCTTGCTAACACTAGGTGTGTGGGTATACAGGTGTGTGTCTTGCCTGAGCTGTGGGAAGCAAAGACACTGAGCTTTGCTCTTTGCCATTCAGTTTGTTCTTCCTGAAGTGGCAGGGACCTTCTCAGACCCTGCTGAGGTGATGCACAGGGAAACAAACAGGGCACATGGAGGAGCTGAGCTTCCCCATGTAAGGTGAAGGTGGAAGGTGTGCCTCTCCTCTTGTTCCCAATCCATGAGGGTCCTGTCTTGATAGCACTGCCTTTTTGGGGGAGGTGAGGTCCTTTATGAAGCCTCTTCTGAAAAGTTGCTCTTCCCATCTGTGAGGGGACAGCTTCTGCCTTGCACTGAGGAACAAGGTACCTCAGCCACAGAGAGCTGACGTGGGACACCAGTGTGTTTATATGCTGCTTGTGAAGCAAAGAAGGTTTATCTGCTTTTGGAGCTGCTTTGTTACATTTAGATTTTTAGTTAAGTCTCCCTAAAAGAAGAGGCAGCAGGGGAGGACATACTGTTCTCTGTCTACAACCCTTTTCCAGACACCAGGTTGCCCCAAGGGGCTGAGACACCCAGGAGAACAGGTTCTTCCAGCAAGCCAGAAGAAAAGCATCTTCCTAGTGATTCCAAACAGTTAGCATTCAGAAACTGCTCCTGATCTCCCTGCAAACTCTTTGTGCATGTGCTCCCTGCTCCCTTCCAGCTTTATAATCCCCTGGACCTGTTAATAAAAAGAAGCCACAAGAGAGGCAGCTGTTGCAGTGAAACACAGCAAAAAACTTCCCCAAAAGACACTATTTATCCAAGGCAATAAGGAGGAGCTTCCTTATTTTGCAGAACTATCAGTTTTGCACCTCTCTATCTTTTACATTTATTTCCAGGCCGCACAAGCCAGTGCGACTTGTCATTGTTTGCTTAGAGGGATTATTTTGCCTTCCAGCAAAAATACCAGTTATTTCTAATTCTCTTTTACTGCTAAAGAGATAACTTTGCTTGAGGGAAGAATGATATTGAAGGCTGAGAGACTCTCCCATCTCTCTGAGGAGCTTCCTCCACACACCTCTATGGATACACCATCCTCCTCCTTCCCTGGCTTCCTTTCCTCTGACCCAGAGTTCCCAAAGAACTCTATGGATGTCATCCATAGAGAGGAAGTTACCCTACAGATGGGTAACCCTTATAAACCCCCTCCAGACCGGTCTTAGCCCATGTTGTCCTGCTAAGGTGACCATGGTCTTGCCTTTCTGCCTGAGTAGCACTGCGGTTGCCAGGTTTTGGGGTGAGTTTTTTCCACCATCTCTGAAATAATCCAGGGTCATGTGCTGGAAAATGACAGCAGAATGGCAGTGATGGCAAGACTGATCATGCTAGGTTGGATACACGTGCAAGCTGACAGCCCAGCCACAGGATCAGGGCAGGAGGACATGATGGCTGTGGATTTGAGCACTTTGAGGGGTGTGAAAGGCATGAAAGGAAATGGTTACTGATTAGTGACCAGCTAGAAGCTCTGAGTGAGGCCTCCACCTTTGTATTAGTTATCTTCATTATGGAAGTACCTGCAGAATTCAACCTTTTTTTTTGTGGGAGTGGAGCCAAGTAAGGAGCCCCACTGTTCCTTTGGGAGCAGTTCAGAGGTCTCTCCTCAGCAACACATCCTTGGCCGAGCTACTCCATGAAGGTTGCGACAAGCCTGAATTTCATCTCTTGTTTATGCCAGGGCTCTGTTACGATAAAGAAAGCTGCTGCATTTTCTCCTTCTCTACAGGCATTTCTGTGTATGGGGGAACAAGGGAGGAATCTGCCAGTCTGCATCTACAAGGCTGGGAAAGAAAGGCACAAAACCTTTTCTTGTGGTCCACTGATTGGGAAAGAAAAACCCAGGGAAGTCTCTTCCATGCTCACTCATGGCTTCTAAGCAAGACATTTTGTTCCTCAGGGCACAAGGGAGGTTGGGTATATTCTCCTCAGAGCCCAGCTCCACATCAAGCACAAGGAAAGTACTTCCCAGTAGTGTCTTCCTCTTCACAGCTGAATTCAAGGGCAGATCCCGAGCTTTTCTTCAGCCACTGAGGATGTGGCAAGGCTGCCTGCCTACTAAGACACAAGGTCTCAGGCTGGTTGTCCCTGTTCCAAGCCCTATGGAGCTGCTGACATCCCTGCATTTCAGATTTTGGACTGAACAGCTCCAATCCACAGATTGTGAATGACTCAAATGCTCTTCATCAGCAGTTGTTGAATCTTTCCCTTTTACTTTCCAGGAAGGGGGAAGAGACTGATGTATTCACTTTGCTGGGATGGCAAAGGATAGAAACAAACTGTAAAAAGGAACAGCATATTCTGAGGTTTACTGCATGCAGTCTGCCCTTCCAGGATTTCGCTCTCTCATGAGTGGTATCTTAATTTGCATCCAATTATGAATAAAGTGTGCACCATTTAACTTTCTAAGGGAATTCTCACAAACTGACATGTGAGATGCTTCTCATAGCTTAATGATAACTGGTTGCAGAAAGCTACTGCAACTCTGTGTGTGTGGTTGTATCATTGCTTTTCAGAGTGCTCAGACTGCTCATCTTTGTCACACGCTCCTTGCTGCAAACTTCTCAGGGAGATTTTTATTTTGTTGGGGAGTGAAAAAAAGGGAAAGGAGAGAGTGAGAAGTCAAAATTGTTTAAAGGAATGTCATGCAACCCCCCCTCACTGTGGTGCTGAAGTCCTGAGTGAAGTTTTATTGCTAATATTTCCTCTTACTATGATGGTGATTAGAGGTATCAACGATTTTACTGTGCACGGTGCAAACATTATAAATTGCCTCTCCCAGCCTCTCAAATTACCAATAATCTAACAGTCTGATGTCAGCAAGTCTGAAACCATTAAGTGGCTAGGAATTTATCACCCCAGAGAGAAAGAGATCACTGATCACCTCCCCCACATGCTCAAACCTTTCACTCAGTCCCCTATGCAATGGCTTCTTTTTCCTTTAAGAAAACAGAGCAAACCAAATGTCTGTGCCATGACCCAGGATTCTGTAGGTCCTGAGACTCCAGGGGCTGTTGGTAGGGAGCTGAGCCTGGTCTGTGGAAGTCTTGCAGCAAGCAGCATTTTTCAGCCAGGCTGCCCTCGTTTCGGGGTGGGTTCATCTGTCCAGAGCTGTGTATACTGCCAACCCAGCCTTTTAAAAGCCTTTATTAAACAAATTCCAAAGGAGAATGCTGCCAGGACACCACAATCAGCGCTGCTAAGATTTTTTTTAAATCACCCCACTCCATTGTTTGAAGGATATTTTCTATTTCTGCAATTCTTTTTGCTGAGAGGTGATGACAGCCATGGAGAGATTCATTTGTAAACATTCATAATTCTCTCCTGGCTAAGGCCAAGACAATACCCTTTCCTTATATCAGAGAGCAGTTGAGTTAATGGTGATGTCAGTCAATGGACTCTTGACTTTGTTGATTCCTCTCCAGCTCAGTCACCAGCCTCCAAGGAGGATATGGGGTTCAAACTGTTCTGTGGCCAATAGTTTGTACAAAATTTTCATGTGTCATGCTGATATGACTGACTTTTGCAAACAGCCAATTTTCCAGTCCTC